TTGCCCAAACCCCACACCCTCTATGTTTAAAGTGACTTTATCTTCCAAGAAAAGATGGAGAAATTACTTTAAGGTTTGTCACACAAGGTTAAGGACAGATACTTGATCATCCCTTGTTCAGAAATATTTGCAGAGAGCTGTGCATGGTGAGATGCTGAGATGTCCTGATTATCAATCAACTTGACCAGAATTTGGCAGTGGTAGAAATGACCCCGAATGGCACAGTCAGCATGCTAATGAATGGTCCACAGAGGCCAGCCCCTTTGCACCGGGACAGTAAGAAGGCTTGTTAGTGATTCCATGATTGGGGATGCAGGCCAACTTTCCCTGATGAGTAGCAGTAGCTGGGATGATGGGGCTTTTGGGTGCCATTGAGTCAGTTCTGACTCATGGCAACCGCACATGATGGAATAGAGCTTCTCTCGAAGGTGTTCTTGGCCTTAATCTTTACAGAAGCAGGTCGCCAGGGCTTTCTCCTGTGGAGCTACTACGGGGATTCAAACCGCTACCCTTTTGGTTAGCATCCAAGTGCTTAACTGTTGCGCCTCCAAGGCTCCTGCAGCTGGGAGGTAAACCATACAAAAGGCCCAGCTAAAGATAGTGATTGGTCAGGATTCCGTTTAGCTGCGTACAGAAAAGCCCAAAGAACAGTGGTTCAGACAAGATACAGGCTGTCCTCAGTTACAAACAAGACCTATTCCTGAGCGTGTCTTTTAAGAATTTGTAGATAAATCGGAACACGTGCATATGCTTCTTGTTTAGCCTCACTGTGGCACAAGGGAGGCCTCAAAGCCTTCTCAGTGGTTTAAAAGCTGCATGTGCTGCAAGTGAAGGTGCTTGTGCTGAATTTGTTTGGAGTAGGTGTTGGGACCAGGAGCTCTGGTGATGTAGCAGTTAAGGCAGTGAGCTGCTAACCAAAAGGTGTGCAAGCCCACCTGCCGCTCTGCAGGAGCTGAGTGCCGTCTGCTTCCAGAAGGATTTGCAGCCTTGGAAACCCAGTGGGGCTCCTGAGTCAGAATCTGCCTGATGGCATTGAGGTTGGTTTTGTTTGTTGTGTGTGTGCACTTTTGGTTTGGTTTGTTTTGTTTTGTTGGAGGGATTGGTTCAGTAGTTTCAAAGTGAGGGCAAATGTACATAACATTAAAGGCCAAGTCCAAGTTGTCCATCAGTCAGAGGTTTGTAAGCCGGGGACTGCCAGTAGTAGCTTAGTTCTTTCTCCCCTGTGGTCGGGGACCCCGGCTCCTCTTCTCTTGTGCCCTGCCGTTTTTGCTTGTTGCCTTCTGGTCCAGAATCACTGCTCGAGCTCCAGAGGGAGAGGAAGAGGCACAGGCCCACTGCTGTGAGGAGGTGGCCCACTTGTGCGGAGGACTCCTGCAGGTTAAATGCAGCACTCACTGTCATCTCATTGGCCAGAACTGCAAGGGAGGCTAGGAAATGAAGCCTGTTAACAATCACATTGCTGCCCCAAGTTCAGCTGGGATTCTGTTACCAAGAAGGAGGAAAGAATTGCTTCTGTGAGTGCAAAAACGGCAGGGAGGCCACATGTTCTGACCTCCTCTAACCCTACAAGGGGAAGGCAGGATTACCAGCAGTAACCCAAGGCTTATTACTGCAAGGCCAGACATGCTGCCTCCCTCCAGCCCTTTCACCAACCGTTCCTCCCAAGGCACCCACCACCTCTCTCCTGGGTTCGATAATTCACTGCAGTGGCCACACAGAACTCACAGATTATGGGGTTTATTAAGGAAGCACCAGGGTACAACTCAAGTTCAGGAAGAACGCTCAGTCTCTCTCCCAGCCCACCGTCCCTCGGCCAACAGTCTCTCACAGTCTCTTTCCCAGCAGCACTGGTCCCTCGGTGTCTCACTCAGCAATGCGTGTCTCTTGCAGCTCTTTCCCAGCACGCCTGTCTCTTTCAGGGGCGCGTCTCTTTCGGCAGCACGTCTTCCTCAACCAGCAGTCAGAGAGAGTTCTGCCTCCAGGAGGCCTCCTTTTGAGCCTGGAAGGGTGGTCAAACTAGCCAATCACAGCATCAGAACCCTAAGCACGTGAGAGAGAGTGGGAACTTCCCAGAACATTGTGTTGTGCCACGCCCAACAGAAATAACCCAGGTGGGCGACTTTAAAATCAGGATCTCCTCCGTAGCTAATAGCAATTCCCACCTTAGAGTTTACAAAGACTTATGGGTAGAAAAGCCACACTAAGTAATTTACTACACCGCAGTGAGGCAGCTGCAGTGGCAGATATACTTGGAACTTCCACTTTGCCTGGCTGACCTCCTAGACACCACTGACATTTTCCTTTAGAACTCTGGCTTGATACAAACATTTTGAGAAAACTAAACACCTCAAAAGTTCAGTTTCCTGCTATGGTAGAACCACACTTTACCAGGTAGCTGGGTGCCATGTCAGCCAGGAAGGTAAAGATTGCTTGTAGTCAAAGTCAAACCAAAAAAAAAAACGCTCACAGTTATTGGGTTGATTCCAACTCACAGAGACCCCCCACTGGGTTTCTGAGGCTGTAAATCTTTACAGAAGTAGATTGCCCCATTTTCCTTCCACAGGCGGGCTGGTGGGTTTGAAGCACTGATCTTCTGATTAGCAGCCAAATGCCTTATCCACTACCCTGCCAGAGCTCCTTACAGTCAAAGTAGCTTTTACAAAAATCCTTAAATTGCCAGAAGCTGAGACCTTGGATGTTAAGAAAACTAAGAATTAACTTTTTGTGTTTCTTATTGAGTTCTGGCTCTATCTTTCTTTTTCAGATCTGAAGGCATTCAAAATCAGGGTCTAGTGAGGTGGGGGCATAATACTGTATTTTTTCCTCAAATAGCGCATCTGTGTAAATAATGTGTACACACAAAGCACACGTAAGAAACTAACACAAAGGCGGTTGCGTGGTTTGAGGGTGTGGACCCGTATAACGCACACATTATTTGTGTGAAAACGTGTTAGGTAATTTATTGGCAGGGAGTAGAGTTTGCAGAAAGGCCGAAGCACTTCCTCTGCTTGCTGTCGGGAGGTCTGGAGGTGTTAACATCCAAGGGTTTAGAGCTTGGTCTTTGTGGAGACAGCCCTGGCTTTGAGTTGGCAAGATGGCACTGGAGAGTTTAGTTCACTCCTCATTTGGGTGTCGGGGGTCCCGGTTTACCATTTCTTCTCCCTTCTAGGTCTGCCCAAGTTGAAACTATAGGCAGAAGGAACCAAATGGAGAATCACAGTATTAGCTTTATTAATGGATAATACTGGCTCGGGAGCTCCCCAGAGTTGGAGGACTTCTGGCTGCAAGTAACCAAACCTGAACTGGCTGAAATGCTGTAGGAACTGTTACCTCCCAGAAAACAAAGTTCAGAGGGAAGGCAGGCTCCAGGGAGGTTTAATCCAGTGTCTCAACAACCTTGCCAAAGGTTCACTGCCTTCCGTCTCCTCTTTTCCGCCCACATATTGGACATGTGTCAATGGACATGTGGTTGTTTCATGTGTTGGACATGTGTTGATGGATGTGTGGTTGTTTCATGTGTTGGACATGTGTTGATGGACGTGTGGTTGTTTCATGTGTTGGACTTGTATTGGTGGACATGTGGAATTGCTTAGGACAGTGCTGCTGGGAACATTCTTGTCCATGTCTTTTGAAAACACATGCACACATTTCTGTAGGATGTGTCCCTAGGAGTAGAATTGCTGCATCGTGTGCATTGTCCTCAGACTGGTAGCATGTGGACAGTAGTGGCTTATGGTGTTATAGGTGGACCCAGCAACACAGAGGAAGAAAAGAGACCATCTTTCTCATTGTGTCTTTTAGGAGCAAGGAGATGTTTCCCAGAAGGGCCCCAGCAGGCTTCTCCCATTTCATACAGTCCTGCTGGGTAACAGACACCTCAGACCCTCAGGGACCTAAATCACAAAGGTTCGCTTCCCACCTACTCAACATTGCCAGGGCTAGGTGCAGGGGACCTGTCAGGACCCAGGTTGCCTGAGCAGCCCCCATCTCCAAGTCACTTCCTTCAGGTCATTGGCAAGAACTAGTCACATGACCCTACCCAGCCAATCACAAGGAGCCAGGGCATGCTGTTCCTTCCATGTGCTTGTAAGGTGGAGAGCCAGAGAGATTTTGTGGAAGTGTTAAAGACTTGCACATTCCCTCTCATCTCATTAGCAAAAACCATGTCAGAGGCCTGCTTCTGGACGAGTCACAGGCAGGAAGAAGAGTTTCTCCCCTGACCAGCTTTGATCTGAGGTAGAACGGACGTTGAGAGCCACCCACAGGATTCAGAGGTGGCTGCTGGAAATGAGGCCTGAAAGAGAAGCTCCTGCTGCTGCCACTTAAATCTCTGCCTTTGCCTGTGGGGACAGCCGGGTGTGCAGGGCCAGCCTCCAGGAGAATCTCTATCTATCTGTTACCTCATTTCCTCCACTCCACAATCTTACTGTTGTTGTTATGTGCCGTCAAGTCGGCCCCAACTCATCGCGACCCCTCTTGGGTTTCTGAGACGGTATCACTACGGAAGTAGATTGCCCAACCTTCCTTCCGAGGAATGGCTGGTGGGTTTGAACTGCCAGCCTTCTGGTTAGCAGTCAAATGCCTTAGGGACTACGCTATCAGAGCTCCTCTCCACAATCAAGGCAGGTAGAAAATGCTGTCCCCATTTCACACATGGGAAAACTGTGGCTCAGCTATAGGAATGGTCGCTTGACAGAGGTCACACAGCTAGCGAGGACCCAACTGGCTGCTGTGCCCTCCTTCTTTGATGACCCCACCTTGCCTTGCGCTCCCTGCTACCACTGCTCCCCGGCATGCTTCTCTGGCAAGACTCGGCGTTCCTGGCCCAGTTACTTGCAGGTTTCCCAGCTTGCTCGTCTGGCTTGCCAGCAGCTCGCTCTCCCTTCTCCCTGGCAGAGCCTCCCGAGTATTTCAAGCCCACTGGTGAGCAGGGTTCAGATCCAGGCAGTTTTGGACACGCCAGTCCTTCACCTGTCTCATTTCCTCTCGCTCCCCTGCAGGTATGCAGCCGCCCCACACTCACTGCTGTCTTTTGATTCCCACTTCACCCACGAAGGGACGTCCAGCGGCGACTCCTCCTCAGGCGGTCTGACCAGCCAGGAGAGCACCATGGAGCGCCAGAAGCCAGGTAGGACCTCCTCCACAGGCCAGCTGGGCCTGTCTGGCCCCACGGGACCTGTTACTTAACAGTTTGACAGGTGACATGCCCGCATCCCATCAGTGACAGGTAAAACACAAAAGACAGCTGTAAGAACTGCACATAAAGTTATGGAGGTCACCCAGGGGAGCAGTGGGAAACAGTGAGTGAGCCCAATGCTTGTCCAGTCAGGCAAGGCGTCAACAACCATGTCTAAGACAGAGAAGACAAGGGCAGCAGACAGATGGACAACAATAATAACCATCGGAAAGACAGTGGAAAGGGAGTAAAAGTGCTGCTTTAGGGGAGCAGAACTGACTGCATTCTATGGCTTTTCTTTCTATAAACCATCCTATGTTGTTTTTTTACTCTCATGGGTAAATAACTCATGAGTATACAGGTTGATAACATAGCACAAAATGAACACACTCATATAACCATACCCAGAGCAAGAAATGGCCCGTGACAAAACATGTCCCTCCCAATCAGTACCCCCTCACAGACTCCCTCATCCTACTTCCGACAGCATGACTTAACTTTTGCCTGGTTTTGAATTTTCCATATATATGTAGAGAGAGGGAGAGAGAGATTGTGAGGTCCCACTGTATATGGTGTGTGTGTGTGGCTTCTGGTGTTATGTTTATGAGAGTCCATGTGATCGTATGTAGCAGTGCAACTCATGAGTAGTATTTCATTGTCTGAATGGACCACAGGTTATCACTCCATTCTCCTGTTGATGGACATGTGGTTGTTTCATGTGTTGGACATGTGTTGATGGACGTGTGGTTGTTTCATGTGTTGGACATGTGTTGATGGATGTGTGGTTGTTTCATGTGTTGGACATGTGTTGATGGACGTGGTTGTTTCATGTGTTGGTGGACGTGTGGTTGTTTCATGTGTTGGACTTGTGTCGGTGGCCATGTGGAACTGCTTAGGACAGTGCTGCTGGGAACATTCTTGTCCATGTCTTTTGAAAACACGTGCACACATTTCTGTAGGATATGTCCCTAGGATAGAACTGCTGCATCATGTGGTAAGGTATGTTTAACTTCATAAGAAACTTCTAAAAAACTGCCAGACTTTTTTCCAAAGTGGTTGTACTGGTTGACACTCCCACCAGCAGCATATGAGAGTTCCAGTTGTTCCACATCCTCAGGGGCCGTTTGCTGTGGTCAGTCCTCACCCACTCTAGTGGGTGAGTAGTTTTTAATTAGCATTGTCCTGATGACTGCAGAGACTGAGCGTCTTCTCATATGTTCAATTCCTATATATTTCTATTAATCATGTGTATGTACCATTTTAACATAATTTCGTGTAACAACCGTGTAACTGCTTTGAAGTCTGAGAACGACCAGATGAATGGATGAGTGGGTAGGTGAGTTCAAAAGAAAGAAAAAAATAGTGTGAGGAAGCATTGACATTGGAGGGTGACGAGACAGAGGTGTCCTCTTAGGGGTTGTTTGATGATTTCCAGACAGCTAGGGGCTGACCCTGTCAGCACATGACCAACTCCTTCATCCTCCGTAACAGGAGAGGCCATGACCCTCGGGCACTGTCGGGGTGGGAAGAGGTGGCATGCCTCACTCAGGTTTAGTGGCCTGGAGAATCGCGCGGTCCCACCCCAGTCCCACAGCTCCCTTCAACCCTGGGAAGTGGTTAGGCTTCAGCCAAGCAGGCCACACCCCGATCCTGCTCTCACCTCTGCCGTCACGGGGCCTGCAGACATAGTTTGTTCCTCTCCTCAGCGGCCTTGATCCTGCCTGTTGCTGCCTGCAGTTCTGGAATCTTTGCTCCAAGACAGATTTGGATCTTTGTTTTTTCTCCTCACTCTAGTTCTGAAAAAGAGAAAAATATTGCATAGTGATTTCATTACACCATAGTGTAAAATGTGTAGAAAATTTTTCCAGCATTCAACACGAGCCTGAAATCAGGCGTCCCAGAAACTCACCATTTTTCTTCCCTTCTCCCTTCTATCCCCTAGAGCAGGGTTCCGCTTTCATTTCCTTGGGACCTTGTTGTAAATTGACTTGACTTCTTTCCCACCACACACACATACACACACAGGAGAGCACCTTGTGTTTGGAAATAGTCATGAAGCCCAGGATGTGTTAAAACTCAGCAGAAGGGACTCCAATGGCAAGCGCAGGGAGCTTGGTCAGGGATCTGTCCAGCCCTGACCAGGTGATAATAACCATGACAGCAGTCCTAGTGACAATAGCGGTTTTGTGTGCTTGTTACATGCCAGACACTGTACAGGATACACTGCACACTTTTATATGTAATCATCTCAGAAACACGGTGGAGTGGACACTGGGATTGCTCTGTGCTAAAAATGAGGAAGAGGAGTCACAGAAAGGTTCAGACACTTGTCCAAAGTCCCTGCTGGTGAGTGGCATCGTTGGGATTTGAACCAAAGCCTATTGGGTCGTAACCACCACTGTCCATGGATGCTGCCCCCCAGCCACATCCACATCTGTGACCTGCCCAGGGTATCAGAGTTCAGGCAGCAGGACCAGAAGGGCATTGAGGGCCAACCTAGAGGACCAGTGAAAGGACTCAGGCAGAAAATCGGGGCCTGCCACAGGCAGAGGCAGGGGCAAGGGGACACATGGAGCCCTTCATCCATCCCTTCATTCAGCACGTTACTAACAGTGCAGCCCAGGCTGGGTGCAGGGATACGGTGTAAGCCGACAGACCCAGTCCCTGCCTTCTTGGAGCAGGCAGTCCACTGAGCAAGATGGATGATAAAGAAGGACTCAGCAATAACAATGATCACTGGTGATGCGGAATGTAAAGTGGAAACTGACACAGTGATGAGAGAGATTGATGAGCTTTGGGGGAAACCTCTGCTGAAACCCCCATTTCAAGTGAAGCTGGAAGAATGTGAAGGTGCCGGCTGGAGGAACATTCCAGCAGGGGAACAGCTTGTGCAAAGACCCTGAGGTAGCAGTGTGTCTGTGTGCTGGAGGAACAGTGAACAGGCCTGTGTGGCTGGAGAAGTGGTGAGAGATGAGTTCACAGAGGTGATGGAGACAGAGTTGGGGGGGTGCTGTGGGCCATGGTGAGGACTTTGTCCTTTATTCAGTGTGGGTGTAGGACAAAGGAGCCTTCTGAGCAGAGAAGGGCAGGGACCTGGCTCAGGTGTTCACAGGGTCCCTCTGGCTACAGATGCTTTCAGATGGGGTGGGAACAGTGAGGAAGAGAGATGGGCGCATCCTGGACATGGTATTTTGAAGGTAGAGTTGACAGAATGGAATGCCTGCATGTGGGGTGAGAAGGGAAGTCAGGGATGACAGGGTTTTTTGCCTGAGCAGCTGAAATGCTAAAGCTGCCAACTTTGCAGGGAAGGCTGTGGGAGATGCAGGCTTAGAGGAAGATGAGAAACTTAGTTTGGGCCATGTTTACTGGAGAGTCCATGAGACACCCGGGTGGAGGTATTGCTAGGCTGCTGAGTACACGGGCATATCTACCCTCCCCCCAAAGCTAATCCATCTGCCTTCAGCACGGGCGGAATGCTTGGTTCCGGAGTGAAAACCAGCTGGGTTCACATCCTGGCTCCAATTGTTGAGGAAAAGACTTAGGCTAGAGACATAAATGTTGGAGCCCTGAGCGTTAAAGGCAGTGTGTAAGCCATGAAGTTGGATGTGACTGGCAGGAGCTTAGCTCTCTGTACAGAAATGTGCTTTCCCAGTGCAGTCTGGCCACCTCCTAGGGGACCAGCACCTCCTAGGTGTGTGGGTTGCCCCAAAGAGGGTAACCGTCTACAGAAGTAGGGCAAATGCATGAAGTGGCAGCCTCTGTAGCTTTCTCGTATCCACAGTTCCCAAGTGAAAACCACACAGCCAGTGACACCTTGACTGAGTCCAGCCAAGATACTCTCCCAGTGGCCTTGAATGCCCTCCCAACCTTCAAAGACCACCTTCCCCAGAAGGGCCTAGATTTGGCCTGGAGACAGCAGACTACTGTGGTTGTGAGTTTGGGCTCCAACAGGCCTGGTTTGAAGTTCTGGGCCTACTGTGTGCTCAGCGTGTGACCTCGGTGGTGACTCATCTCTCACTGTACATGGACGTCCTAACCGACTCTCTCTCCTTCCAAGGCTGTTTGGGGGTCCAGTGAGCTCGGACCTGCCCAGCCTTCAGCACAGCAGGCAGGCCACCTTCAGGACAGTAACAGTTCCTCTTATCAAGCCCTTACCCCAGTCTCGGCATCCTTGGGGAAAGCACAGGGAGTATGCAGTCATTGAGAACATAGGCTCTGAAGCCCACAGACTTGAGTTCCATTTCCTGCATGGCCCTTTCTGAGTGTGTGACCTTGGACAAATTACTTCTGAGTCTTGATGTTCTCCTTCATCTGTTGGGGTAATACTGATACCCACCCCACAGTGTTATTGGGAGGCTACAGCATGGTGGTGCCTATAGTAGTGCCTGACACAGAACTCATACTCGGTCATCATCATCATTATCATTATTGCATGTACAGTGGTGATTACAAGTTTGGGCTCTGAGGGCAGATAGCCTAGCTTCAAATCCTCAGTTAGTGCATTGGTAGTTTTAATATTGACTGAATGCCCTCCATTGGGGTTCAGATTTTTTTAAAGGTAAGATGCTCATTCAGGCACATGACTGCCCTTGGACGTTTAGACCAATGTACACCCATACCAGCTGTTTCGGTTACCTATAGAGCTGCTGTAACAGAATACCACAAATGAGATGGCTTTAACAAACAGGGATTTATTCTCTTGCAGTTTAAGTGACTAGAAGTCTGAGTTCAAAGTGCCAAGCTCTAGGGGCTGGGTAAAAGCCCTTCAACCTTGGGCTTCAGTTCTGCCTCCTGCTCCCGGCCCACTGAAGCTGGAGGCTTCTCTTAACTCAGGCAGCTGCTGGCTGCTGAGGCTGACAGACCCAAGGTCAATGAGTAAAAAAGCACAGTCCCAGGATTATCAAGCAACATGGCAGGCCACTAGTTCAAGTCCAGAGACAGTCCCCAGATGGGCAGGGCATGGCAGGCTGCTGAGCAAAGACTCAGCTACATGCATGGTCCAAGCATGCCAAAAAGCTGTAGAGACCTTTCTCAAAGCTGCTGCTTATGTACTAGAAGCAGACCACCTCCCTGAGTCAGCTACTCGGACTCCACCATAGAGTTGATTAACAGTCTCATCTGGGGAATAACTCCATCCAGCTGCCCAGCCACTCCAAACCAGGCCCAGCCAAGCTGACATACATCCTTTACTACCACACCAGCAATCACAATTTCAAACCTACCTCATCTTTGAAGCTGCACTTCCACTTCTAGAACTTGGTCCTAAGCACAATCCTACACTTGCTCGAAGTTGCATGGAGAGGGAAGACCACTCCTGTTGTAAGGTCAGACTGAAAATAACCTAAATGGTCATCAATAGGAAGCTGATTATATAATTGCTGCACATTCACAGAGTGGAATACTCTGCAGCTATTAAAAATGAGGTGACTTCACATGCAGTTATGTGGAGAAGTAGGAAGGTACAAAGTGGAAAGTATGAACAGATACATCGTCAAGTGAAAAATCAAGCTGCAGACCAGCATTTGTTATGACTCTGTTTTTGTTACAAAGAGGAATTACGTGCATTTACCCAACTTACAGATTTCTCCCTCACATAATAAAGAACACTACTAACAAATAATATAAAAGATAATCTGTCTGAACTGCTGATTCTGTACTGTTCCTCGGACTCTGTGGACACTTGTTCTGATGACGTGTCTGTCTGTTTCCCACTTTTGTTTTCCTTTGCTGCATATGCTGAATAAAAATCTCTTTTCTTCACTTAAAAGAAAAAAATAATAATATGTCCCAAGAGAAAAATGGGTAAAGGATACGAGCAAATAATTTACAAAAGAGAAAATCCAAATATGCCCAGTAAACTTGCAAATGTGTTCAACCTCATTTGGGGATGATGATGGAAGACTGCTATGAGGCTTCAGTGGGTTAGCCCGTAAAGTACTTAGAATGGTGCCTGACACATAGAAAGTGCTGAGTACCCCTGTTATTAAGTATTGTTATACCCCAAGAGGTAAGCAGATAGAGTGTCATGGCCCTGTGTGAGCTGAGCAGACAAGTTGGGGATGGGTGGGACCATCAGACCGTATTTAGGACTGGAGTTTTCAGATGCACTCAAGCCAGGCCTGCGTCACCTCTAATGGCTCCTGTGTCTCCTGTCTTCCTGCAGAGCCGTTGTGGCATGTGCCCGCCCAGGCCCGGCTCTCGGCCATGACCGGAAGCAGCAGCAGCAAGCACGGCTCCAGGCAGGATGCAACAGGCAAAGATTCTCCCAACAGGCATTCCAAAGTGAGTCTGCCTCCCCCGCTGCACTGGAGAGCCAGGGCTGGGGGAGCTGGCTGCTCTGCCACCCTGACTGCCGCGGGCTGGGCCGTTTGGCCTGGGTGTGGGCCCCTGGACACCCATGGGTGAGCGTCTTACACCTTCACTCCAGCGGAGGGCTTGGGTGCTTTGTTCTGGAGTTAGAACCAACCAGGTTTTCACATCCTGGCTCCAGTCCTCACCAACCGTCTTCACTGACCATGTCATCTTGAGCAGATCCTGCACCTTCCCCAGCGTCGGTGGCCTCACACGATAGAAGTTTGTTTCCCTCTCATGTAATAAAATGCTGTGAATATTCAGCAGGCAGCTTTCACACAGTGAAAGTATTCACTCAGCGATTCCCTCTTGTGGCTCTGCTATCCTTCAGCACCTCAGAGCCTTCTGATGGGTCCCTGCATCTGCCCACTTACATTGTATTTGCCAAGACTCTGTCATGTGACCATACCTAACTGCAAGGGAAGCTGGGAAATGTAGTCCTTTATGCCCAGGAAGAGAAGGAAATAGTTCAGGTGAACATGTTAGCGATCTTCACATCCGTTCGTTCAGTGGGTACTGGACAAACACTAGATGAAACCCTGTCCTCACAAAGTTGGCATCAAGTGAGAGCAAGAAGCAATAAGCAGATATGTTAAATCATACCAAAAACTGACCCTTGCTATGGAGACAAAAAAGAAAAAAAAAAAAGCTGAGTTAAGGGAAAAGAAGATAACAGACACTGTTGCTTTTACGTTGGGGTACTCAGAGAAGGCCTTCAACGAAGTAATATCTAAGCCAAAATTTTACATGATGTGAAGGAGTACCCATGAAGATATCTGAGAGAAGAACAGTGCAGACAAAGGGAACAGCAAGCACCAAGGTCCTGAGGCATCCGATGCCTGGTGTGTAGAAAGAACAGGCAGGAGCCAGCGTGGCTGGAGAGAAGGGATCAGGAGGGAGGAGTTGGAGTTAGAGACCAGAGCAGGGGACCAGACCATGTGGACCTTTTGGGCCCTGGTGAGGACTCTCACTTTGATCCTGAGTGAGATGGAGCCGTGGCAGGGTTTTGGACAGCAGAGGAACGTGAGCTGACTCGGGTTCACCGCCTCCCTCTGGCTGCTGCACGTGGGGAACAGACTAGGGGACAGGACAGGAAAGGAAGGAAACTGTCAGGAGTCCAGCAGGAGGCAGCAGTGCGTAGGAAAAGAGGCCGTGGAGAGAGGAGAAGTGGCAGGTTCTGGATCTGTTTTGAAAATAGAGCCAAGAGAATTTTGCTGTTTTGACTTCACATGGGTATGAGGACCAAGACAGGTTCCAGGGTGACTTGGAGGCACTTGAGTGAGGCAGCTGAAAGGAAGGAAGTGGCACTCTTGAGGCAGGGAAGAGGCAGGAGTGACAGATTTAGGAAGGAGGCTCGGCAGCTCAGTTTGGAAATGTTGAGTGTGAGATGTGGGAAGCATATCACAAACATGATGTCATTTATTCCAGCAACCCCATAGGGCAAGGTTATTACCACCCCATTTCATAGTTATGGAAACTGAGGCACAGAGAAGTTAAATCATTTGTCCTAGGTCACACAGCCACTAAGTGGAAGAGCCAGGATTCAAAGCAGTCTGGCTCCAGGGTTCATGCTCAGGTGGAGGAAGGATACAGAGAAGGGAGATTTGCCCCTCAGCTGCTGCTGCTCATGCCCCTGGCCAGGGATCTAGGGGTGACGCACATGTCTTGCCTCCCCAGGGAGAGCCTCAGTACTCAAGTCATTCCAGCAGCAATACCCTCTCCAGCAACACATCCAGCAGCCACAGCGACGATCGCTGGTTCGACCCCCTGGACCCCCTGGAGCCAGAGCAAGACCCGCTCTCCAAGGGCGGCTCCAGTGACAGTGGCATCGACACCACCCTCTACACCTCCAGCCCCAGCTGCGTGTCCCTGGCCCAGGTGCCTCGGCCGTCAAAGCCACACAAGCCCGCAGGAAGCATGGGCCTCTGCGGTGGGGGACGTGAGGCTACGGGGAGGCCCCACCACACAGACAGACGGCGCGAGGTCTCGCCCGCCCCAACAGCTGCTGGGCAGAGCAAGGGCTACCGACCGAAGCTATATTCCTCAGGCTCCAGCACCCCTACAGGCCTAGCTGGGGGCAGCCGCGACCCACCGAGGCAGCCCAGGTAAGGCACTGCACCTGGTCCCATTCTGGCCCTTCAGGGCTTCCTGACTACCTTCCACTCCCCCACAGTCCTGACGGTGGGTTCCACCCAGAAACATGCTCACAGACGTGCATGTTTACACTTGGTTTTGCTGAGTTGAGGGGCTCATGAACCACCCTCCCTCCTGCCCATCCATCAGCCTTCAAGGAGCTCAGGTCAAGGAAGAGAAACCTGTGGCTGTCTTGTCTGTCTCTGGTCTATTCTTTCTTATCCTTTGTCTGTTTTCCCTTCTCTCTCTACTCAGTCCAGTAGTATTTATGCTTTCTGGGACCCTCAGACTATATCTTGTAGGAATGTGTTTGGTGGGAGGTACTAGGAATCCTGACCCACAGGGGCTTAAACAAGAGGTTTAACTGAGTGCAGAGACTGGCAGAGCTGGGCTGGAGCAGCAGCCCAGGGAGGGTGTAACAGTGCAGTCAGAAGTCGCCTGACTTTACAGGGAAGAATGAGCAGAACCATCAGCCCAAAGCTAATTCATGACACGGAGGTCAGTCATACCTCCACTCTCCAAATTTTTACCAGTTTGCACACCAGCCATCTTCCCAGGGCACTCTGCTTCTCTGCTGGCTCCTGTAGTTTGTTGTAACAGCTACACAGAACTCAGACCATACTCACAGTTAGATGGTTTATTAGGGGAGTAACATGAAAAGCTTAGGAGACAGGAGAGACAGTTCATTCATCAGGACAGCTCCCAGCCATGACAGCTCTCAGCAACTTGTTGGCCACGCCTGCAGGCAGGCTGTGCTTCTTAGCCATGCCCAAAGGCCGCCTCTGCTGTCAGGGCCCTCAGCCTAGCCTCTGCCACCGTTGAAGCAAATGTTACAGCTCTTTAGCGTCACCAACAAGTGCAGAGGTCCCCGTTCCGCCAGCGAGCCTCCTGCCCAAAGGCAGTCAGCTCTCTCACTCTGTGGGCCAGGAAGCCCACCACAGATGCCTTCAACTGGTCTTCTGGTCCCTGCTGTCTTGCACCACTGCCACTCATGCCACTGTCACACTGTCTCATGCCATTGCCACCTCTCACCATCTTCAGTGTTAGCTCTCTCCCTCTGGGGTCTAGGAGGTTTTCATCACAGGAACCCTGGTTCAAAGGATACTTTCTGCTCCAGGTTCTTCTTGACGCTAGTGATGGGGACCACCTCCCCCAACCTTTGTGGGATTAGTCCTTATAAGCCAAGCAGGATGACAAAACTGACCAATCCCTGCAAGGGATTTATAAGCTTATTTGCATAGTAAAGCCCAATCCCTTTGCGAGATTGAGCCTAGCAAATCATCTTGGCAGAACTGCAGAGCCAGGACCAGAAAGACCATACATAAGGAGAAACCTGTTGTAGTGTGGAGGGCCTCAAGGACTGGCACTCTGTGTCTTCCTGCTCCTTCATCCTGGCATCTTCTCGGTGTCAAGATGGCAGTTGTGCCTCTAAGGGAAGCAGAGAACGGCAGCTATGTAACTCCTCCTTTCCATGGAAAAAGCAAATGCTTCCCCAGGTCTTCCTTCAGGAGACACTGTCACATAACCACCCCAGCTGCAAGGAAGTCTGGGAGATCAAGACCTACCTTTCAGCCTCTATAATGTAGGTCTGTTGTTATGTGCCGTCGAGTTGGCCCCAACTCATAGCAACCCCTCATTGGGTTTCTGAGGCAGTATCACGCGGAAGTAGATTGCCCAGCCTTCCTTCCGAGGAGTGGCTGATGGGTTTGAACCACCAGCCTTCTGGTTAGCAGTCAAGTGCCTTAGGCACTGTGCCACCAGAGCTCCTAAAACTACCATATAACCCAGTAATTCTACCCCAAGGTGTATACCCAAAAGAACTGAAAGCAAAGACCCCAACAGACACTTGTATACCAGAGTTCATTGTCAAAAACCACCAAAAAAACAAACTCACTGCTGTCAAGTCGTTTGCAACTCATAGCGACCCCTCCTTGGGCTTCTGAGGTGGTATCTCTATAGAAGTAGATTGCCCAACCTTCCTTCCAAGGAGTGGCTGGTGGGTTTGAGCCGCCAGCCTTCTGGTTAGCAGTCAGGTGCCTTAGGCACTGCGCCACCGGAGCTCCTTAGTGTAGGGCAGTGATTCCCAAACAGTCCGTGGAGGTCCTGTTAAAGACAGAGTCCTAGGCCCCACGCAGAGCTGCTCAGTCAGTCCCTCAAGGGTGACATAGGAGGATTTACATTTTTAAAAAACTCTAGAAGATGTTGCTAATGCTGCTGCTCCTGGTCCAGGAAGCACACTTTGAGGCCTGGTGGTAAAGAAGGAAGGCAGGGAGGTCACTGAGAGAGAACAGGCCCTGATGAGCCAACAGCCCGGAGCGCAGAGCAGAGACACTGAGTATCTGACGAAAGAAACTGGCTCCCAGAAAAGTCGTTCTGCAGCATCCCGGGGCTCCTCCTCATCCACAGACCCCCTTCAAGGTCTGTGGCTTTAGGCAAGGATTCCAAAGCCAAGCCCACAGCCTCACTCCCTTCCCGAACTGTGAGGTGAGGAGCTGGAGCAAGGGTGGCCTGGGCCCTGGACTCCCATAGGGGGCTGAGTACACAGCCCCTTGGCCCGTCCTCTGAGGCCCATGCTGTCCTCCACAACAGGACATGTGCAGTCTAGCAGTGGCCTCAAACCTCTGACGACAGACAGCCCACAGTAAGAATTGTGTCTCTGCCTGTGTGTAGGCTTAAATGTAAACCACGTGTGCAGCCAGAGTTTCACAAAGGAATGCGTGGCCTCGCTGTGTGTGGGGCACTCTGATTTAGTCTATTCTGGGTAAACATTTTTCATTCCGATCAGTACCTACGTAAATGATTCATGACTGAGCAGTGGTTCTCGGGTGGATTTGACAGCTGTCACATTTGAGAGTGCTCGTAGTGTCAGTAACGGAGCTCTGGTAGTGTAGTGGGTAAGGTATTTGGCTGCTAACCAGAAGGTCAGCAGTTCAAACCCACCAGCCACTCCACGGAAGAAAGACGGGATGATCTATTTCTGTGAAGATTTACAGACTCAGAAACCCAATGGGAGTCTCTGTGAGTTGGAATTGACTTGATGGCAGTGAGTTTGGTTTGGGTCTTTGCACTTTGTTTTGTTTTGTTTTATAGTGTCAGTAAGGGAACCCTGGTGGTACAGTGGGTAAGCACTCAGCTACTAACCAAAACGTCAGCGATTGGAACCCACCAGCGACTCTACAGGGGAAAGATGAAGTAATCTGCTTGACTAAAGATTACAGCCTTGGCAACTCTATGGGGCAGTTCTCATCTGTCCTGTAGGGTCACTGTGAATTGGAATTGACTTGATAACGTTGGAATTGATTTTTTGTTGTTATTACAGCGTCAGTGGGACCAACTGAAGGGGAGAGATGAGTGAGAGAGTGTGTGTGAATACGAGAGTTAGGTTTCTGTCTCTCAGTCCACAGCTTTAAAGTAACCCTTGATCTCTTGGAACTCACAGACCCCTTTAAACAACTCCTTCATTCATTGACTTACTCATTTCACTTCAAACATTTGATACTTCTTATATGTGGATAGTGTGTTGGGAGCTGAGCAGAAATGAGGAAATTCAGACAAGGCCCCCCCAGGCCTCACTGTAGCCCAGTCTAGTGGGGGGACTGTCAAGTCATCACTGAGGCAGATACAAAGCTGCACCCACAGAGCGTGTGTTGCCAGGTGTGTGGGCCGTTTACCGGAGATGCTGTCTAGGTCAGCGTCTGTGTAGGGAGGGAAGCGGAGAGCTGCGTGCAGCCCAGGCCTCAGCCCTTCAGGAGGACACTTGGAGCTGAGTGTCAGAAGGGTGAAGGTGCAAGGCAGCTGGGCCTTTATACCCTTCTGTTGCTCAGTCATTGGGTCAGGCTGCCTTAGGAAGGGGTGCGACTTCTGCCAGGTAGTTTCCTTGCTGATGACGCCTGATGGCGCCAGCACTCCCCACAGCTGGTGGGGAGTAAGGCCTCCCTGCAGGGGCATCTGGGTGGCACAGGACACGGTCCACCACCAGGAGCATCTGACCCTGGCTAGAAGTAGGTGGTAGAGACTAGGAGAGGGAGGCCTGGAGGAAAAGCTGGCACTCACCAGGGGAAGGGTCTTGGTTGTGGTAGCCCCTCTTCCGTGCATAGGCCTGTTTGTGAACCTGCATATGCTATGGGGTTTCGAAATCCTTGATAGAAAGGCAGTGCCACTGGGGAGCAGACTGGCTAGGCGGGAGGGGAGTGTAAAATTACCCTGTGTCTGAGAGGAGGCTTTGCCAAACCCAGAAATGAAGGGAGTGAGATGGGAGAGGAGCTCGCTGCAGAAGAGGGCCTGTGGTTGGGAGTGCTCATTTGCATATAGACAATTGATGCTAATTGCAAATCATTCTTATCCACTCATTAAAGCTGCTTCCTTAAGTTTTCTCCTAGGCAACCAGGCTCTAGTGTGGAACAGCATCTCCAAAAATGAGGTGCTCGGGGTGATTTGGGTGGTACAGGGAGGACAGGGTTTCCTTCAAATGGATATGTGTTTGCTTTAATGAGTATCTAGAGAAAGCATTACCAGCCCGTCCCCTGATTTTACAGATAGTATTGCCTGGAACAAGTCAAGGAACTTAAAATGAGTTGATTTAAAGATACGTCAGGGCGGTGGGTAAGAGTGTGAACTCTGGAGGCGGCCCACAGCCTGACTGTGTGACCTTGGGGGTGTGACTGAACCTCTGTGGGCCTCAGTTTCCTTATCTGTGCAATGAGGGATAAATAATATACTACTTCATAGAGATGTAAGGAGCTCTCGTGGCATGGTGGGTAACCGTTTGGCTGCTAACCAGAAGGTCGGTGGTTCAGCTGCTCCACAGGAGGTAGAGGAGGCAGTCTACTTCTGTAAAAAATGTACAGCTTTGGAAACCCAGTGGGGATCACTGTGAGTCAGAATCGATTCCTTGCATTGGGTTTAGTTTTGGGTTAGAAGAATGTAGCGGATTAAACAAGCTAATGGTTTTGCATTAGAAGAGTACCTGCCA